GCAACTTGAGTATCTTCAGAGGATATAATAGCTGTCTGGAAGAGTTACAACGACTCTCAGCCAATGTGATCTGAATGTGAAATAGTTCTATATGGGAGTATCTCGAATCCTTTTGATGAGTTCATATAGACCTAAAGGTCAATCATCCTCTTTAGGACGTTCATGAAACAGGTGATCTATCATTTTTTGTCTTCAAATAACCTACTTAGTTTCAATTGGTTACGGACCATCTCCACATAAATGAAGAACTGAAATCATAGAAAGAAATAATATCTCCGTTTACCTGATCCCAAGAAATCCAAAAATCCCTCAATCCTCTCGATGAATCGGCGAATCGCGCTCACGACAATGACGTATGAGTCAATAAGCCTGCTATGTTCGAGTGGGCCATGACCGATCGTCAGCTGTTCCCCGCAGCGAGCTCATGCAGCGCCAACTCTAATCGAGGATCTGCTATCTGACAACCACCGATAGTGCATGGACGTTTGATAGAGACACATGGCGGGTATAGGAAAAAGCTGATTTATCGGCCGGTATCGAGTGTTGTTATTTTACCGAGCAGGGAGATCGAGAAAGCGGTATCTGGCCGCCCCCGACCGTTTTCACGACTCAAATAATAACAATGGGAATGCCTGTGTGGGTTTTGTTAGATTGGATATATCGCTGAATCTGGTGTAGGAATAATTCTCACATCTAGGAATCGGGCTGGTTTGATTAGTTCGTTTGACAGGTGCTGAAGAATGGCGATAATCTCTCGAATCAATCTTAGATCCCTAGAGTATACATGTGGTATAATTTTTTATATTTCTCATCGAGTGTCACCTTTCTTCATTTTGGTTATCAAATGGACTTATAACATAAAATTTTGGTATTTTATACAAGTATTTAATAAACACCATTTATATTCGAACATGTCATTTCCATACCAGATAAAAAAGATTTTGTTCGATCAATCGAATCGAAATTGAATTGCTCTGTTCAAGAATTCTTCATTTGAATGAAGCAATATACACTTGTCTCAAATCAATTGGCTTGCCTGCGCCGATTATTTTCGACAATGCCTGGCTGATGTGTAGATTGAAAATTTTGTTTCTTCTGAAGCAAGTTCTATATATGTATACGATTCATGATTACCAGTTATCGAGCCACTCTGCAAAACACGCAAAACATTTTTGAAGTGATGATTCATTATTCATTTTATGGTAAGACCATCAATAGTCTGATAGTAAGCTCTATTTTGATTCCAGTCAGATTTCAGAATGAAATTCTCTTGGTAATCCATTGTGTTCTTATTTCTAAAAAATCTCGTCGCCTATGCAATGTCGAATTTCAAGCAATGACAGCTCTGTCAAAAAGATGAGCATTACTTAAAAATTTCACAATTCTTGAAACAAACATCCTTGCCATGTTTAAATATCACACATTCAGAAATCTGGAAACTATATGGCTTGTCTAATGAATACCTTGATACCAGGTATACAACATAACCTAAATTAACGTGCCATTTTCTTTGAATGGAAATTATAAATTACTTTGAGCTTTTCTTCCACCTTTCAATTATAAAGAAGTTAACTTTGTCTACTCAAAAAATTGATGAATGCATCATGAATGAAATTGTACTTATCATTGAATGATGATCACCACTTCAATAAAGGAGTATAACTCTTCATATTCAGTATTTGGTAGGTTTCCTGAGATTTCAAACAAGGACTATAATGTTCAATTGGATTGCAGAAGGTTATTGTGTATCCCCTTGTATATCCACTTGTGAATTGTTCGAGATTGAATGTCAAGTGGATTCAGGAAAGGGTGAATTTATATAAAATTGACATAATTCCCTAGAATATGTTATGATAAAACATGTAAGAATGTTATGTAGAAGTGATATCACTGTTATATGAAACATTGCTGTAAATTCAAGAGAAATAAGATCATGTGAGTTTTTTTATCTACATTGACGTCAATTTGGACGTCATGTTCATGTATAAATCAGAAATGTGAAATATTCATCCACTTCTATTACCTCTGCGGGATTTGTCAAACTCTCCATAGGTACTTCAAATTAGTAAACATTTATCACTGAAGAAAAACTGAGAAAAGTATAATATTACATGCATACATTCACCAGGGAGAAAATCAGGAAACACTGTAGCAGAATCATAGCAGATTTATTTGGCATTATTTGACCTCCACAGAAATCAACTTGTTATATTAGGCTATGTGGTGTTGTCGAGTGTTGTCGGAATAAAACGACAGCTGCCGATGATATCTTATGCAATTTCAACTATTTTTTCACCTCTTTCATTTGTCGTATATGATTCTTTGGTGTTCATTCATAACATTTGTATGTTCTATTCGGATCATTGGACCAACATATGGGTAAAATGAAAATACTTTTCCATTTAGGCCTTCTATTTTTTATCTCACCCAATGAAATCGAAATATAAGTGCCAATTGTTTCTGATATATCAATATTCATAAAAATATTAATTAATATGAATATCCAACAATGGACTAATATATGTATAAGATCAATCACGTTTTTATAGTTATTGGTCTTATGAAGCCCATATAATTTTACACTATGTTGTGCTACGGGGGTTGTAAGATTGTAATGTTGTTGTATATTGTAATGATAATTGAATTGATAATAATGATAATGAAATGATTGTGGGCACGAAAATAACAATGAATCTTGCTGAAACGTTCAAGAAATGGTAAAAAATTCGAAAATTCGACGATCCGAAATGAACGTTGAAAAATCTTATTTTATCAATTCGTCTAAATCATCAGTTTTCAATATTTGATTTCGGTTATTTGAAACAGTAACAAAACGATGATATGTCACGTTCATTTCTCATGACAAATTTGGTTCAGAATCGGGCAGTTCCACCGATTTCGAACGTAGTTTTGCCCTCGTAGACTTCGTTGGAATTTGTGGCTGAAAACACGTTTGCATCTGTAGGTATCTCAGAAAGGAAACAAATTCGTATACAAAGTTTGTCAGTCTTATTCTCACTCACCCTGTATAGTATCAGATATTTGAAGGACCATAATAGTTATTTATGTATCAAGGGCGTAAAGTAGGCGTTTATGGCCTGTGGCGTGAATAATGGCCCGATGGCGCTAGCCGAGGGCCATTACACGCTGAAGGCCATAAACGCATTTCACGCACGAGATACATACAAAATTTTATGCACTAGTGGTTTATTTTCTGACTCATAAGTAATGACTATATATTTCGACAAACTAATATTCCCCAGAATTTAATTTATTACGTAACAATTCAGTAATCAGGAGAAGCGTGATGTTCATGGATGATTAACATATGAAAATTATCGTACGAATATTGCAATTATCGTAATAGTAAAACTATTTCAGCTCTAGAAGAGATTCATTCTTCAGAGTTTTACAATATGCATACCCATTATATAAACCTAACTTATTCAATTTTGACGTTGTCAATCAATCTGATGGTTGTTGTCAATAGCAATACATCCAATAAACGAGCTGAATTGTCATTGTTTGACCGAAAAGTAAAATTAGTGATAATAATAATAGCGAGACTATGGAATCGGATAAAGAAGAAGTTTATGATATACCGCTGGATATATTAGAATCTAGGAATATGATAATAGGTTTCTCATGAATTGATATGTGGATATAAGGTGACTGAGAACAGCGGGCGGTAAAGTGCACTTCAAGGCCCGTGGGCCATAATGAGCCCGCGGGCGGTAAAGTGCGACTTAACGCCTGCAAAACCGGGCGGTAAAGTGCACTTTACGGCCCGCTAGTGCATAAATACAATTTCAGCTCCTCTAGGGAATTCATTTGGCATGAACAAGTAGCCATTTAAAAAACCAAAGTTTCCATTGATCAAGATGGGGCTATATGATGGAGCTTTCAAAAAGAATTGAATCCCATTAATACCATCTGGTCATTCATCAATGGAATCCTTATTATTTCGATCACGAGATGAAGCAGTGACTAATGAGAAAGAACAATTAAAAACGAATCGAATAATTAAATTTTGGCCTGTGTCAGTCGATTATTCAGTTCAATATAGTGGACGGGATATATTGGAGAGTTGGAAATGCGGGCAGCTAATAAAAAATCAATTAGACAAATGGGGTGATATCGGATATCGGGTTCAATTACCGCAATTGGTATTGATGAGGAGTGACCGTGCGTGATGAACAAGTGGTTGATAGTAGACGAAGCGTTAATTTTCTCTTAAATATAGGTACAGAAAAAGTTATCATGTTATCCCAGTCAACACACATTTTTTTTATGAAGGTTGAATAACAGTTAGAATATAAACCACTGTTGTGTATAACTCTACAGTGTAGCTGGAATAATAACTAAAACTCGTAGGTTCTTCAGAGATGTTTAATAACCAACTTAAGCGGTGAAACAATACAAGACCGACTAAACTAAACATCATGTCATCTTTTAGATAGGTGACTACTATGTATAATAATAATTCCAATACATTACATATAGGGTGATAATGAGTACCAACACATATAAGAAAAATACCTAGAAACCTAAACGCTGAGGAGGCTTAGAAACACGAGTACTTCGTCTCAAACTCACATGCGTATATCGTCACTTTCAGCCTGAGGTATCTGAGAATCAGTATTATGCTGATACGGCCGAGGATCCGGCTGTGATTCTGATTGCAACAACGGTCGCATTTCAGAATTTTCACGTACGTCAGGGGAAGGTACAGAAGACTCAGTAATAGAGGTACTGGGTGGTGTTTCATGTAACAATGGAACTGGGAATACATTCTTTGGCAATTCATGATTTGAGGTATATTTTCTCAGACTATTAACATGCTTATACATAATTTTTCCCTCCACATTTACTAAATATGTGACAGCACTTATTACTTTTACTATCACTCCTTCCTTCCATTTCTCATTTACATAATATGGACCTAATTTTCAGACACACCCTATATAGAGATACCTCATTGCTATACACTTGATTCAAAGCTAGTAAATCACTATTGACTTCATCGTATCCATCATCACTACGTCTGCTTTCGACGGACATAATCTGGTTACATGACCAAATTTCGAACACGCATAACATCGCCACCTTGCTGCTGGACACTTCTTCTCTTTCAGATGAATCCTGCCGCATTTGCTACATGTTGTATCCACCTCTGCTTTGACTACTGCATCCGGCTGATGCTTAATCCTTTGTCTGTAACTTTGGTTCTTAGTCACATGTTGTTTATGTTTTTGAACGAAATTGATAGGACTAGCATTTGCTAACATTTTTACTTGCTTGTCAGCTAACTCACATCCTTGTGCTAATGAGCAAGCTCGAGGAAACGTTAACACTGCTTCTGAGAGTAGCTTCTTTTGTATATTTTCGGAATTGACACCACAGACGAATCTATCACGCAATGCTTCATCTAAGAACTGGCCGCCAAAATTGCACGTACTAGCTACTTTTCTCAGTTCGACGATGTACTCTGCTATGCTTTGGTCTAATCGTTGATTACATCGATTGAACACGAATCGTTCACTAATCTCGGATACTGGTGGAGCATAGTGCTTCCTCAAAAGGTCTGTCATCTGCACATAGGTCAATTCTGCGGGTTTTCTTGGAGCTACCAAATTCTTCATGGTATTATATACACTAGATCCAGCAAGAGTGATTAACATTGACACTTTCTTGGCATCTGGTACTTCATTCACGTCGAATAGATGTTCCATTCTCTCGAGATATGATTCAAATTCTTCCGCCTGCCCTTTGAAAGCTTCAATACTCCCGATCATTGCCATTTTATTTTTATTTACGAAAAATGACTTTTCTTTACAAAAAAAAAATGTCACTACCACTGTCAACAACGGCAAACCAAAATTCACCTTGTCAACTGACTTCACTGAGTTCGATATTATTGTCCTGAAAACACTCCGCTTACCGATATATCAATATCCCATCCTCGTCGCCAAATGTTGTGTATAACTCTACAGTGTAGCTGGAATAATAACTAAAACTCGTAGGTTCTTCAGAGATGTTTAATAACCAACTTAAGCGGTGAAACAATACAAGACCGACTAAACTAAACATGTCATCTTTTAGATAGGTGACTACTATGTATAATAATAATTCCAATACATTACATATAGGGTGATAATAAGTACCAACACAATAACCACATTACCAGTTGAAAGTCTCAACAAATAAAGGTTGAATCATTATCTTATTCACCAACCGAAGAAAGAAGAACGGGTTCAAATCACCAACCATATTTGGACAAGAGTTAGAGTAAGTTGAATAACTGGGCACGTATACACAAGTAACTAGGTTTGATGAAATTTGAATTTAATTCAGAGGCATCCTTCATTTGAATAGTGTGAAATGCATGGACAATTCAACACAACATATAAAAAACGAATTACATAAAGTCATCTATAAATTCCTAGATAAATTCAAAGCAAGGAACAATGGATTTGTCACAATAATCAATGAATAAAGTAAAAGTTCTGATACCTATTTTATACAATTGCTGGAAATGTACGTTTTCTAAATACGAAGTACTTTGATGAATCATAAAAACAAATCCTTTTCGAACATAATATGTACTTATATACTTAAATTCTTGTTTTTGCCAAGGAAGGAATCTTTTTATGCTGTTGTTACTCGAATTCAGTAATACCCTGTATATTCTTGGCATTAGGAACCTTGAAAAAATTAAATTGAAATGAATAATTTATTCTAAGAATCACATATCCAAAACATTACTATATGGCATTTGAAATAATAATTTCCAGTGTATCTTATACAGGGTCGCTGATTTGTATGGAAACATGTGAATATCTTGGTAACCAGTCGTTGGATTTCTTTGAATTTATGTGCAGTGTGATTTCAAAATGTGGCGGATTTGAAAGTGTTATAGCCAATGTTGCCACTTTTTCAGTTATTCCGGAATTTTATTAACTTCCTCATTTTGAATAAAACACCCTGTACTTTATTGGATTTTCAGATACTCCTTGAAGAGCTGATTCCATCGATCTATCACACTTGGGGTCTAGCGGAAATGCTTACATAGGTATAGGGTGTTTAAAATCTAGATTTTTCAACTTCAGGATTTTTTTGTATCGAAACTATCCATTATCGTTCAAAACCGCTCTAATATTCCAATCTTTACTTTTGATTCACTATCTACTGACATTTAAATGGAACAGATACAGAGGGTGATCAGAATTCTGAATCTTGAACCACCCTGTATTTGTTCCAATTAAAAAAAAAAAAGTAAATTGTTAATCAAAAGAAAAGATAGGAACATTGGAGCGGTTTCGATCGATAATGGATAGTTTCGACACGAACAATCCTAAAGTTGAGAAATCTAGATTTTAAACACCCTATACCTATGTAATCATTCCCGCTAGACCCCCAAGTGTGATAGATCGATGGAATCAGCTCTTCAAGGAGAATCTGAAAATTCAATGAAGTTCTGGGTGTTTCATTCAAAATAAGGAAGTTAATAACAAATCCGGAATAACTGAAAAAGTGGCAACATTGGCTATAACATTTCCAAATCCGCCACGTTTTGAAATCACACTGTACATAAATTCAAAAATATCCAACAACATGTTACTAAGATATTCACCTGTTTCCATACATATCAGCGACCCTGTATAGATGGAATCGTGCCAAGGTCGGTACCAATCCTTAGGCAATTGTGGAGGGTCGTTTGGAAATCTTGGGGTACTAATCCTGATATTATGCGTTGGCTATTCACAGCAGTCATGAAACAAAGATGCAGTACGAAACAGCTGTGTGGTGGCCAGGCGCAGAAACCAGCTCAATTGGTCGAAAACTAGGTAAGATTCAGAGGATGGCCTCCCTGGCGATCACAGGAGTAATGAAGACGACAACTGCAGCGCTGGAAGTACTGCTGGGGCTGCCGCCGCTTTCAATCTGGATCGAGAGGAGATCAATTGAGACCTATCTGAGGATGCGGGACTCTGAAAGATGGGTTAACGAAAGAGCAGTGACAGGTCACGCAAAAATTGCGGAATGGATGCGCAGGAGATTCCTATATCCACCCTAAGAGCGGAGAACGCTCAAAGGATGAGATAGAAGGTTCACTCTTACTATTGCAAGCAGAGAACAATAGGTAGAGAACAGACTGGAATTTCGCCCAAGGAGTCTAGTCTGTTACACGAACGGATAGCGCCCAACCAACAGGAAGGAAGAGGTATGAGAGAGCTATACGCCCTAGGAAAACACACTACAGTTGTTCTGGCTGAAGTATTTGCCATTCTGGCTGTAGCAGAGAGACAAGAGGTGAATGAGGGACCAGAACACAAGATTTAAATCTCATCGTAAAGTCAAGCGGCGTTCATACCTATATGCGGTGATGCTCTTGATAAACTAGTCGAACTGGATGAAGTCGAAATATTTAGTATGAGTTTCGGGTCATGAGGATTTGCCTAGGAATGAAGTAGATGACGAACTGGCTAGAATCGGATCTGCGACACCGTTCTGGGGTCCGAAGCCTGTACTGTGAATTACAAGAAACCATCAAACTTCGTCCGTGCACTCAATAAATGGACGGACAGAGCACTAGAAGAGTATTGAAGGCATAAACAAGGCTGCAGGCAATTGAAAAACCTGGTAGCCGGTCCAAGAGAGTCAAAGACGTCTTGGTTACTTGGCAGGAATCGCCAAGTACTGCGCCTCCCCATAAGGGTGCTGACAGGACCCAATAGGTTGAACAGACTCCTATCACTCATAGGTGTGGATGGTAGCTTCACTTGCCACGAATGCGGAGATGAGGAAACGTAACTTCACTACCTCATAGAATGTGAGGCGCATGGAAGGATGAGATTCGACATCTTTAGGTTGAATAAACTACAACGAGAGAATTCAATGGAATGAGACTGGGCGGAGATCCTGATCTTCATCAGAAGGTCAGGGAGGTTCAGAATGGATATTTTGTGGAGAGCAGGGGTTGGCAAAAAGGGCCCATGAGGGCATATACTTGCCTGGCCACAGTACTACTACTACTACTACTAGCCTATGTATGTTGAGGACAACTCCAGAGTACAGAATATAGTTTGAGCTTACTATTCATCACGGTAATACATTCTTCTTCTTCACAGGAAAGTAGTTCTAGGAACCCATCCATGTCATTGTCATAGTATCATCATTTGATACGCTAACACGCAACGCTATCTGCAGGGGAAGGCGCAAACTCTTCTCGTCGTGCACATAGATGTAATAAAATAAAGAAGGCCGTGTGATACAGAAGTGCAACATTACATTATTTATCGTCTGTTAGGTGGTTCACCGCTTGAACACGGGGTGCCTGTAAGGACAACGATTTATACCCGGCCACACACTATGATGCTCTGTGGAATTTTTAACGAATCATACGCCAACTTCGATTTATAGTAACACGAGGTGATATATACATCGATAGGGGATACATAACGAATGGAGGTGGACTCACATCGCCGAGGTGTTCTTCGAGTCGGTATCGGTGTGTCTTGTGTGTGTATCGAATTCGGAATGAAGAATGCGATTTCGTTATTTATCCGATTATCTTCAGATATTTCACGCCTGTAGCGAATTATTGCTCGCAGAGGAGAATGAAAAGGATGGCTCTGGTGTTGGTGCAATAAAAACAAATAGTTGCCTGTGAATCTTCATTTATTTGCATTCTTATTAACATTATTCCTTGAATGTCCTTCTCTGTATTAATTATTGGGAATAATATTCGAATTACTATCAATACTCAACAGGATACTGAGTACTGAGAGTTGATAAGTAAATGTAGGTTCTATAATTTAAGATTTCCATTTTCCATCAGGAAAGGGACGAATCATGAAACTTCAACAACTGACAAACATAACAATACAGGTACAATCTGGTGATGAGGTCGAAAATCAAAATTTCGTATTGATTTACATCTAGTACCCATACAGAGTGCTGCGTACCCTGTCATTATTCGTTATTAGTAGAGTAAATCCGAGTAGTTTGTATAAACACATGCATTACCTTTTTTCATAGGTACAGGATTGAGTTTCATCAATGTGAACACCCCGTCATCTTTGAAGTTATATGTACTACACAATACACATCTTATACAAAGGTGAATTTTTATATATGTTGGTTCGAGGAAACTCTAAGTAGAATGTATCACAATATCTGGAAGATAATCTCGGGATAATGAAATTCAATTTTTCTAACAAATCTGCATAGTCATAGGTCTCAGAAGGGAAATGTCACCGATTGAGTAATTGAATACGATTGGGTCCGGCTTCAATGTGAAGGACATGACATCACATTTGAGAGTATTCAGTTCTAATCTGTTATTTCGAAACCATTCTACCACTCGACCCAGGTTGTCAGCAAGCTGTTGACAATCATCTATGTGATTCACGCACCTATATAATTTCAGGTCGTCCGCATATAGCGAAAAGTTTACCAATGCCGTTAATGAAAATGTTGAAATGTAGTGGCCCCAGTTTGGAGCCTTGTGGTACGCCGGATGTTGCAAGATATTCGACAGACTTGTAGCCGTTCAACTGGAAATATTGTTTAAGATTAGTGAGGTATGATCTGAATAGGTTAACTAGAGAGAGAGAAGTTTGTCGAAGGCTTTGGAGAAGTCGGTGTAGATAACGTCTGTTTGCGCACGATTATCGATATTCTCAGAAATGTATTGAGTAACTGTTATCAGATTTGTAACCGTTGACTGACCTCTCATGAAACCATGTTGATGGGGAGCAATGATTTTGTTGATGCTATATAGGACAGATTTCGTTCC